GCAGACATCATGGGGATTTCCCATGAAAATTTGAATATGAAGAAGCTCCCTGCAAAGTGGGTCCCCAAATGTTTGACAACAAATGTTTGCGGCCTAGCTGACCGGGGAGTCTTTGCCACTCGGCCATTGTCCTCTGCTTGGCTTGGAAAGGTTGAGGGGAAGGCTCCCCATGCAGCCTAGCCGACCTTCGCCACTCGGCCCTCATCCCCTGCTTGGTTTGGAAGGGTTGAGGGGAAGGCTCCCCATGCGGCCTAGCCGACCTTTGCTGCTCGGCCCTCGCCCCCTGCTTGGCTCAGAAGGGTTGAGGGGAAGGTCCCCATGCGGCCTAGCCGACCGGAGAGCCTTTGCTTCTCTGCCCTGGCGCCCTGCTTGGCTTGGGTTGAGGGGAAGGCTCCCCATGCGGCCTAGCCGACCGGGAAGCCTTTGCTGCTTGGCTCTGGCCCCCTGCTTGGCTCAGAAGGGTTGAGGGGAAGGCTCCCCATGCGGCCTAGCCACCCAAGTTTGATCCAGGTCCATCATCGGTGGAGGTCAGTTACTCTGGTTGTGAGTGAACTACAACCAGGGGTGGCTCAACCCATTACGCAAAGTAAGCATTTGCAGTATAGTTGATTTTGCCCAAGGGCACTCTTGGGGGAAAATAGACCTTGACATATGCGAGTTGTAGTTACTGGGATGTATAGTTCACCTACAATCAAAGAGCATTCTGAACTCCACCAATGATGGAATTGAACCAAATATGGCACACAGAACTCCCACGAGGAACAGAAAATATATATCAGTGATTGGTTGGGGTGGGGGGCAAAATACTGTTTGCTTACGGTTGAAAATTACCTTCGGCCGCCTCTGACTACAACTCCCAGAAACAAAGGTTAGTTCCCCTCAAAGCCCTCCAGTAATCAACTGTAAGCATACCAGGTATGGGTTCCAAATTTGGTTCCATTCCATTGCTGTTAGAGTTCAGAATGTGCTTTATTGGCAGGGGAACTATTCATCCCAGCAACTCCCAAATGCCAAGGTCTATTTTCCCCAATCCTCTCCAGTATTTTATGTTCATCATGGGAGTTCTGTATTCCAAGTCTGCCTCAATTCCATTGTTGTTGGAGTTTGGAATGCTCTTGGTTGGCAGGGGAACTATTTATTTATTTGCTTTATTTCTATACCGCATTTTTCAGCCCTTAACAGGCGACTCAATGCGGATTACATGGTACAATTATCAAACAGTGTCAGTGCAATTAAAACATAACAATGCAACAAACAGGATCAACAGCATCAATCCACAACAGTTAACAATCAACAAGACAGATCAACAAAACAGACATAACATAACGCCTCAGTTGAAATCAGATCCGTTCTCATAATCCTTGTGCCATTCCTATGTTCCATTTACCGTCTTCCTATGATTGGTTGCACTGCTTAACCAAACGCTTGTTCATAAAGCCAGGTCTTAACCATTCTCCGAAACGTCAGCAGCGAAGGTGCCTGTCTGATGTCTGCCGGTAGGGCATTCCATAGCTGAGGGGCCACCACTGAGAAGGCCCTGTCTCTCGTCCCCGCCAAGCGCACCTGTGACGCAGGCGGGATCGAGAGCAGGGACTCCCCAGACGATCTTAATGTTCTGGTCGGTTCATAGGTGGAGATGCGTTCGGAGAGGTAAGCAGGGCCAGAACCGTTTAGGGCTTTATAGGCTAAAGCCAGCACCTTGAATTGTGCTCGGTAGCGGATTGGCAGCCAGTGGAGCTGGTTCAGCAGAGGAGTGGTATGCTCCCTGAGTGCTATACATCCCAGCAACTTCAACTCCCAAATGTCAAGATCTATTTTCCCCAAACTCCACCAGTCTTAAAATTTGGGCATATTATTTGTGCCAAGTTCGGTCCAGATCCATAGTTGTTTGGGTTCACAGTGCTCTCCGGATGTAGGTGAACTACATCTCCCGTAAATTGCTTTCAATTCCTCCCAAACCCCTCCAGTATTTTCTATTGGTCATTAAGGTTGTGTGCCATGTTTGGTCCAGGTCTGTAATTTATGGGGGTCACAGTGGTCTGTGGAAGTCAGAGCTGCATTGGTTGAAGTTACTGCAGATCCCATCATCCATTGTCCATACTCCCCCGAATGTCTGCCATGTATATGTGCATTATAATCCGCCCTGAGTCCCTTGCGGGGTGAGAAGTGCGGAATATAAATACTGTAAATAAATAAATATAGATAATAAGATATTATTATAAATATAATATCAACATATTATTAATAAATATATTATATATAATATATTGTTTATTTTATTTATTTATTGACAGTATTTATATTCCGCCCTTCTTACCCCGCAGGAGACTCAGGGCAGATTACAATGTACATTGTTGTTGCTCATTCGTTCAGTTGTTTCCGACTCTTCGTGACTTCATGGACCAGTCCACGCCAGAGCTCCCTGTCAGTTGTCACCACCCCCAGCTCCTTCAAGGTCAATCCAGTCACTTCAAGGATATCATCCGTCCATTTTGCCCTTGGTCGGCTCCTCTTCCTTTTTCATATACATGGCAAACATTCAATGCCATAGACACACAACATATATACACAGACACACAGAGGCCATTTAACATTCCAACTTTTTCATGAGGGTATTCTGGTCACCAGGGGAGCTGTTGCTTCACTGTCCATTTGTGACATTGCTGAAGTTCTTTGCAGGCTTGCTGGAGATTTTTATGGCATCGTAAATTAGTTAAATTAGCCTCCCCGAGTAGACGGTACCCAAGTTTAGGAGTCAGCTGAATTAAGATCACTATTGATCTTAATAGTGTGGAAGCCAGCCCGGGTGGGAGTGAGTGTCCGACCAATTTGTGTAGCTTGCTGTCGACCTTTGCAGCCTGAAAGTCAGTAGTGATCTTAATTCAGCTGACTCCCAGCCAGCTGTGCCACAGTCCCAGTACATGTTATAAATATGTATGAATATTAATATTAAAATAAATATATTGCTAGTAACATTATTAGTAGAAATAACAATACATATATTACATATATATATATATATTATTGTATTATTATAATAATAAAATTATATTTCATTTCAATATTTATATTCCGCCCTTCTCACCCCGCAAGGGACTCAGGGATTACAATGTACATATACACGGCAAACATTCAATGCCATAGACACACAACATATATAGACAGACACACAGAGGCCATTGAACATTTCAACATAATAATAAATATATTGCTAGTAACATTATTAGTAGAAATAACAATACATATATTACAAATATATATTATTACTAGCTGTCCCCTGCCACGCGTTGCTGTGGCCCAGTCTGTGTTTTGTGTGTGTATATATGTGTGTGTATATATGTGTATATATTTGTGTATTTGTGTGTTTATATGTGTACATGTATATTGTGTATATGTGCGTGCTTGTCTATATGCATATTTGTGTGTATATATGTATGTATGTGGATATGTATATGTGGGTGCATGTGTATATGTATATATGTGTGTATGTATATGTATGTGTGTATGTGTATATTTGTGTGTGTTTGTGCATATGTATACGTGTGTGTGTGTGAATGTGTGCATGTGTATATGTATATGAGTGTATGTGTATATGTTGTATATGGTGTATTTTTTGGATTTTTAACTCTGTTCCGCTGGGGTTTTGTGTGCGCGCGTGTGTTTATGGGTGATGGACACTTGTTGAACTGTTAGGTGTCTTGTGTCCAAATTTAGTGTCAATTCGTCCAGTGGTTTTTGAGATCTGTTAATCCCACAAACGAACATTACATTTTTATTTATATAGATACTAGCCATCCCCTGTCACGCCTTGCTGTGGCCCACTCTTGTAGTCATGGGGGTTCTGTGTGGGAGGTTTGCCCCAATTCTATCGTTGATTGGGTTCAGAATGCTCTGTGATTGTAGGTGAACTATAAATCCCAGCAACTACAACCTCCCCTCAGGAAATAAAGCCCGACTGCTCATTGGAGGGAAGGATACTAGAGACAAAGTTGAAGTACTTTGGCCACATCATGAGGAGACAGCAAAGCCTAGAGAAGACAATTATGCTGGGGAAAGTGGAAGGAAAAAGGAAGAGGGGCCGACCAAGGGCAAGATGGATGGATGGCATCCTTGAAGTGACTGGACTGACCTTGAAGGAGCTGCGGGTGGTGACGGCCGACAGGGAGCTCTGGCGTGGGCTGGTCCATGAGGTCACGAAGAGTCGGAGACGACTGAACGAATGAACAACAACAACAACTCCCAAATGTCAAGGTTCTATTTTCCCCAAACTCCACCAGTGTTCACATTTGAGCATATTGAGTATCTGTGCCAAGTTTGGTCCAGATCCATCATTGTTTGAATTCACAGTGCTCTCTGGATTTAGGTGAACTACAACTCCAAAACTCAAGGTCAATGCCCACCAAACCCTTCCAGTATTTTCTGTTGGTCATGGGAGTCTGTGTGCCAAGTTTGGTTCAATTCCATCATTGGTGGAGTTCAGAATGCTGTTTGATTGTAGGTGAACTATAAATCCCAGCAACTACAAATCCCAAACGACAAAATCAATTTTTTGAGCGAAGGACATACTTTGGGTTGTTAGGTGTCTTGTGTCCAAATTTGGTGTCAATTCGTCCAGTGGTTTTTGAGTTCTGTTAATCCCACAAACGAACATTACATTTTTATTTATATATAATATATAATACATATATTATTAATATTAACATAATAATAATAAAATTATATTTCATTTCATATATTATTTTTCAGCTATTGCTTCCCACTCTGAGGAGCCACGCCCCTTAACTCCTCCGCCAATCATAACCCTTGGTTTTCACTCCAGTTAGCCTTGGAAAGCCACGCCCTCTGTTGCTGTTCAGGCCACGCCCCTTCCAGCGATTGCTTCCCGCTCTGGGGAGCCCCGCCCACTAAGGCCTCAGCCAATCCGTCCCTGGCAAGCCCCGCCCCCTTGTTTACAACGGACACGCGCCTAGAGTTCTCAACCGAGAGGAGTTGGGCGACGGTGCAGCGGCGTTGGTTTTTCCCTCGGTGCATTTGGTGGCAGAGCTGGAAGGAATGGCACGGCTCCCTCGCGGTCCTAGTGCTCGTCTACTACTTCCCCCCTGGGTCAGAGCCCTCCTCTACTTCACTTACAGCGGAGCCTTCAAGATCGACGGGGACATCTGAGCCTTGAAGGCACAGCAGCGGAAGTGAGTAGCCCTCCCACCTCATTAGCCTGGAATTGGAATTGGAGTCCAAAACAGTTCCCCCCTTCCTCCCAAACTTTGCACAATAAGAGACTGTTGTAAAGGGGGTCCACAAATGCCATCCAGTCCAACCCCCTTCTTTCCACCCGGTGGGGAAAGCACCATCAAAACCCTCCCAACAGATGCCCATGCAGCCTCATAGACATTAGTGCAGGCACGTCCAAACTTGGGTCCTAACAAAGGCCATCCAGTCCAACCCCTTCTTTCCACCCGGCGGGGAATGCACCATCAAAGCCCTCCCAACAGATGCCCATGCAGCCTCATAGACATTAGTGCAGGCACGCCCAAACTTGGGTCCTAACAAAGACCATCCAGTCCAACCCCCTTCTTTCCACCTGGCGGGGAAAGCATCATCAAAGCCCTCCCAACAGATGCTCATGCAGCCTCATAGACATTAGTACAGGCATGGGCAAACTTGGATCTTCTCAAAGGCCATTCTTTCCAAGCCCCTTCTTTCCACCCGGCGGGGAAAGCACAATCAAAGCCCTCTTGACAGATGGCCATCGAGCCTCATAGACATTAGTGCAGGCATGGGCAAACTTGGGCCCTCCCTCCAGGTGCTTTGGACTCTCGCCAAAAGTCATCCAGTCCAACCCTATGTATGTATGTATCTCTGCTTGTCGATCTATCCATCTCTCTCTCTATGAAGGAGCCCCCAGTGACACAATGGGTTAAACCCCTGTGCTGGCAGGACTGCTGACCTAAAGGCTGACAGTTAGAATCTGGGCAGCAGGGTGAGCTACTGTCTGTCAGCTTCAGCTTCTCATGCAGGGACATGAGAGAAGCCTTCCATGGGAGTGTAACACATCTGGGTGTCCCCTGAGCAACATCCTTGAAGGCGGCCAATTCTTTCACACCAGAAGTGAGAGAATTAGGTCCTTGAGTAAATGGGTCTTTGAGTTAACCAAGAGTGCACTGGTCTATTATTATTATTATTATTATTATTATTATTATTATTATTATTACTCTGCTGGCTGTTGTATTGGATCACACATTGGACACTTCCCAAGTGTCTAGGACTGTGTGATGTATCGGCGAATAATGCGTGCAGATCCCAGTAAGGTGGCCTTCTGCAGCTGGCAGATGATAATTTTGTCAGCGCCGATTGTGTTTATGTGCATGCCAAGGTCTTTAGGCACTGCACCCAGTGTGCCAATCACCACTGGGACCACCTTGACTGGCTTGTGCCAGAGTCTTTGCAGTTTGATCTTTAAATCCTCATATCGTGTCAGCTTTTCCCGTTGTTTCTCTTCAATCCTGCTGCTGCCTGGGATTGCGACATCGACGATCCATACTTTGTTTTTTTAACACGATTGTGAGGTCAGGAGTATTGTGCTCCAGAACTCTGTCTGTCTGAATTCGGAAGTCCCAGAGGAGTTTGACGTGTTCATTTTCTGTGACTTTTTCCGGCTTGTGATCCCACCAGTTCTTTGTCGCAGGCAGATGGTATGAATCATCTGAGCAATGGTGTTATGCCTCTGCTTGTAGTCTGTCTGCGTGATATTCTTGCAGCAGCTGAGGATGTGATCTATTGTTTCATCTGCTTCCTTGCAGAGTCTGGGATCTGTCATCGACTTTTCAATTCTGGCTTTGATGGCATTGGTTCTAATGGCTTGTTCTTGGGATGCCAGAATCAGGCCCTCCGTCTCCTTTTTCAAAGTTCCATTTGTGAGCCACAGCCATGTTTTTTCTTTGTCAGTTTGGCTCTCAGTTTTTCCCAGGAACCGTCCATGGAGATCCTTCATTCGCCAGTTTTCTCTTCTGCTCTGGATTGTGTTTTTACGGTATTCACTCTTTGTCTTTTGCACTTAAAGCAGTTTACTACTATTGACTTCCCTCAATGTTGGTTCTCGACTGCCTTTCACTTAATCTGCCAGTGCATGTTTCTCTTCTACCATTTGTTGCACTTGCAGAAGCCCTCTGCCTCCTGATTTTCTGGGCAGGTAAAGTCTGTTGACATCACTACGCAGGTGTAATGAGTAGTGGATTGTCATCAGTTTTCTTGTTTTTCTGTCCACATCCTCCAGCTCTCCTTGTGTCCAGTTCACAATTCCAGCAGTGTATCTAATGACAGGGATGGCCCAGGTGTTGAGAGCCTTGATCGTATTTCTACCATTTAATTTGCTCTTCAAAACTTTTCTGATTATTTGGATATATTATTTGCTGACCACATTTTTCACATGCCCATGCTTGATATTGGCCAACTGTAGTATACCCAGATATTTATAGGCTTCAAGCTGATTGCATTTTATGGTTTGTCCATTTGGCATCTCTATGCCCTTGCTGTGAGTGATTTTCTCTTTCTTTAATGCCACCTTGGCACATTTGTCCAGGCCGAACTCCATACTGATGTCAGTGCTGAAGATTCTGACTGGATTTCTGTTTCTGATTTTCCATAAAACTTTAGATCATCCATGTACAGAAATTGATAAATTTTTGGTTAATTTCTTGCTGTTTGGTAGCCCAGGTTTGTTTTCTGTAGAATTAGTGACAGAGGGATCGTTGCAATGATGAACATCAGTGGTGACAGTGAGTCGCCCTGGAAAATTCCTCTCTTGATGTTAACAGTTCCATAGCTTTCGTTGTCCATGAACAACTCAGTTTTCCATTGTTTCATTGCATTTTTTGTGAACTTTCTAATATTTTCACAAACCCTGATGACACCTAGACATTTGATAATCCAACAATATGGCAATGAGTCAAATTATTATTATTATTATTATTATTATTATTATTATTATTATTGGATCCTTGAGTTAATTGAGAGTGCACTGGTTTGTTTATTATTATTATTATTATTATTATTATTATTATTATTAGGTTCTTGAGTTAACTGAGATTGCACTTGTTTATTATTAATAATATTGTGGCGCAGCTGGCTGAGTGTCAGCTGCATTAAGATCACTCTGACCAAAAGGTCATGAGTTCGAAGCCAGCCCGGGTTGGAGTGGGCTTCCAACCAATTGTGTAGCCTGTTGTCGACCTTTGCAACCCGAAAGACAGTTGCATCTGTCAAGTAGGAAAATTAGGTACCACCTTGTGTGGGGAGGCTAAATTAACTAATTTATGAGGCCATAAAAAAGACTCCAGCAAAGCACTCCAGCAAAAGCATGCGGGGAATGCGGAAGTACTTCATCAGTGTCGCAGATGGACGATGAAAGCGACAGCTCCCCTGGTGGCCAGGTGGCCAGAAAAAGTTAATAGCCTCTGTGTATGACTGTATACGTTGTATGTCAAATTGGCATTGAATGTTTGCCATATATGTGTACACTGTAATCCGCCCTGAGTCCCCTGCGGGGTGAGAAGGGTGGAATATAAATACTGTAAATAAATAATAAATAAATAATATTTTGGGTCTTTGAGTTAAGCAAGAGCTTGTAGGATTATTATTATTACTAAGTTGATGGTGCCTCTTTTGGGGGCAATAGGACTGGCCCTTGACTGCCTCCTGCTGCTTCTTCTTCATTCTGTGACCCCTTCCTTCTCTCCTTTCCTTTTTCCCAGGGAGTCTGAGTCTCCTCCGCAGGGCAATCAAAGCCCTCCTGACAGATGGCCATCCAGCTTCGTAGACATTTGCAACGTCCTGATCAAAGCCCTCCCGACATAAGGCCACAGCACTTCTAGAGACTCCCAAGAAAACAGTGTGCTTGACCCTCTCACGCAGTTCCTTTCTTCTGTCCCTTTCCAGGAACACGAATTACTGTCTGTACTACATGAGGAACAACTCCTAACAGAGTGGCATGCCCTATAGTTGCTCCGGACACGCCCCTTTCAGCTATTCCTTCCCGCTCTGAGGAGCCCCGCCCACTAAGGCCTCAGCCAATCCGTCCCTGGCAAGTCCCGCCCCCTTGTTTACAACAGACACGCGCAGAGAGTTCTTCTCAGCCTAGAGGAGTTGGATGACAGTGCAGTGGGGTTGGTTGTTCCCTCGGTGCATTGGGAGCCCATTCTCGACAGGCGGACTCCATTCACAGTGCTGGTTGTGCTCCTCGGTGCAACTCAGCATGGCGCCGTGGTGGCAGAACTGGAAGGAATGGCTCGACGCCACCGCGGTCCTGGTGCTCATCTAACTGCTCCCGCCCTGGGTCAGAGCCCTCCTCTTCTTCGCCTACTGCGGAGCCTGGAAGATCGATGGGGACATCTGAGCCTTGAAGGCACAGCAGCGGAAGTGAGTACTCGCCCTCCTCATTGGCCTGGAATGGGAATTGGAGTCCAAAACAGTTCCCCCTCTCCTCCCAAAGTTGGCACAATAAGAGACCGTTGTAAAGGGGCCCCCAAATGCCATCCAGTCCAACCCCCTTCTTTTCGCCAGGAGGGGAAAGCACCATCAAAGCCCTCCCAACAGATGCCCATGCAGCCTCATAGACATTAGTGCAGGCATGCCCAAACTTGGCTCCTCCTTCCAGGTGCTTTGGACTTCAACTCCCAGAATTCCTAACAGCCTTATTATTATTATTAGTCACCCACTGTCACGCGTTGCTGTGGCCCAGTCAGTGTATATGTATTTTGTGCGTGTATGTATGAGTATATGTGTATATATGTGGTTTTGCGCATGCGCTGTAATGCATTTTTATGTTTTGGCTTTTTAAGCCCCTTTGCAGGAACTCCAGGGCTACCTTCTCATCATTTGTCATGGAAATGGTCACCTCGCCCCCCCAGGTCATCATAACTGAGCACCGCAGTGTGTCCTGGACCTACTCGGCAACCAGCCACAACCCCTCCATCCTCTCGTAAGTCTCCTCCTATCATATTGGCAGCCTTGGTAGATCAGGCTTGGTCCAGATCAGGTTTGGTCCAGATCTGTCCTCGGCGGTGCTCACAGTGTCTCAGGTTGTAAGTGAACTACAACTCCCAGAAATGAAGGTCAGTTCCCCCCAAAGCCCTCCTGTATTTGAAAGGTCAGCGGTTCAAAATTGGGGGTGAGCTCCTGGCACTAGGCCCAACTTCTGCCAACTTAGTCGTTCAAAAACATGGAAACAAGTAGATGAATAGGTACTGCTTCTGTGGGAAGGTAAGGGCGCTGCATGCAGTCATGCCAGTGGCCACATGGCCTTGGAGGTGTCTACGGACAACCCCAGCTCCTAGAAATGGAGGTCCCACAGTCGGACTCGACTAGGCCTAATGTCAGGGGAAACCTTTACCTTTACTTATATATATCTATACGTTTCTTCCTGTGTGGCCTTCCCCCTCCTTCCTTCCTTCAGTCACAAACCCTCCTTTTCTTTCTTCCTCCCTCTTTTCTTTCTTTCCTCCCCTTGCTTTACCTCATAACACCTTCCCCCTTTTCTCTTCCTTTCCTCTCTCTCTCACTCCCTTTTTCCTCTCCTTTTTCTTCTTTCCTTCCTTTCCAAATCTCTTGGGAAGATAGTCGGACAAATGGGTATCTGGACAATGTGGTTGGTCCAGCGGATTTGATGGTGGAGGAGCATTTATGCTGGTGGTCTTTGCTTCTTCCAGCACGCAAACTTCACAAATGCGGCTGGTGGGGACGAGGGACAGGGCCTTCTTGGAGGCGACCCCCCGCCTGTGGAATTTGCTCCCCAGTGAAATTAGATCAGTGCCCTCCCTCCTTTCTTTCAGAAGAAAACTGAAGGCTTTTGGCTAATGGATATAATGGCACCTGAACAGTGAATTGGACCAGACAACGATTGTTATAATGGCAATGTTTTTATGACTGATAAAATGTTGTTTTAATGTGTTGTGTGGTATGATTTTATTCTGCTTTTATAATTGTAATTATTGCGGCACCGAATCGCTGTCATTGTGAGCCGCTCTGAGTCCCCCTGCAGGGGTGAGAAGAGCGGGATAAATATGATGTAAATAAAAAAATAAATGACCCAACCCAATGGAGAGCTTCCTCTTGCCTTCCTCACAGAACTTGAAAGCTGGAAGAGGCCAACCAGCTGGAAGAGGACGAGCCCATGGAGGTGGAAATGGGTGAGTTGGAAGCGTGGTAGGGAGGAAGGAGGCAGGTTTTTCCTTCCATTTTCAGTGAGACAGGCCCGTAGCCAGGATTTTGTTTTGAGGGGGGCTGAGATTGATTCCGGGGGGGGGGGGGGGGGGGGGGGGCTGAGTATAAGTGAAAGAGGGTCTACCCTAGCAAACCTTTTGTATTGTTACCCCAATACCTCATGCATATGGCATATATTGAGTATGGTGATCCGATCATGATATGAATAAACATAACAGTTTAAATAATGCACCACTAAGGCCTTCTCGCGGACCATCATGAGAATTTCGGGGGGGGGGAGGCTGAAGCCCCCCAAGCCCCCCCCCTCCCCCGGCTACATGCCTGCAGTGAGATAGAGTATTTAGGCACTTTAGCAGCCGAAATCTTCAGAGCCGGGTCAGGATGAATTCCTGACCTTCAGCCCAGCTCCCTGCCGACCTAGCGGATCAAAAACAGCAATTTCAGTAGATGAATAGGAACTGCATTTAGCGGGGAGGTATTTTAGGCATGGTGATATAAACAGGCGTGCCTCTTGCTTAGCCACGCCTCAGTCTGAGAGAGCTCTCAGTGTGAGAGCAGCCTCTCTGTGTGGGAGAAAAGGCCTTAGTGGGAGTAGGCCTCACTGTGGGATATGACTGTGCGTCATATCATCCATTTCGTAGTTCTCCTTCCTCAGCCTTTTGCAGTTTTCCAGGTTTCAATATTCTTAGGATGGTGTCTTCAGGCTCTATAGGCCCCAGTCATACAATTTCGTTCAGTGCAGACATCACAAGTGGGGAAGCTGGTTTCTGATGCAGATTTCCACCACAGGGCCATCACTGCTGCCTGTCATCGAGGAGGACATAGAGGTAATCGAGGCTGATTCCAGCTCCTCCACATCCGCGGCCGCTTCTTCTACAAGCACCAGGAAATGACTCCCAATTAGCATTTTAAACAAGTTTTCATTAAGGCATCCAAGGTCTTGCTGATAAGTTTGTGTAGACTATTTGCTACAACTCCTCTCTGATTGTTTCTCTCAATTACAAAGATGGAAGGACTGAGCAGCAGGACCTGTCTTGTGATTGATCCCATAGACATTCCTACAGAGACTAGTGATCGGACGAGGACTAAGACACATCCCCGGGCACTTTCCACAGCCATCTCGGCGCTGCTGACTCTCCCTCTGCCTCACCTCCTCTTTCACTGTGGCACATAGAAAATAATAATTTTGCAAGCTAGTAGAGCTTGTGGTATGATGACAGCAATTACCTGCAGATCCCTGCAGATCTTTTTTTTACTTGACCACAGCAGCAAGGATATGTATTCCCCGCGTATGGAAAACTGAAAACACAGCAACTTTTGATTCATGGATCAATAAGGCTATGAATATCATGAATATGGACTTGCTAACACAAAAAATAAGAAAAAATAGTGCAACAGATAACACCGACTGGAACAAGTTCATTAATTTTCTAAAGAAAAATAATCTCAAATATTGTTAAAATAGGAAGGAAAGAAGAATTCCGGAAGAGATATTAAAAGTAGGTTAAAAATTAACCATCAAAACAAAATACGTTGGGAATGAATTAAACTCAGGTTGCTTGAGGTTCCTGGAAGTTAGGGGGAAACTATATGTATTTATGTACTGATGTGTATAGATATCGAAATGTGTTGTAGGGGAAGGGGGGGCTAGGACAACATTTAGTTTAGGAATTTGGGCTAGGTAAATAACTTGGTAGATAGGAACGAATACGACTTGAGAAAATAGACATGGATGATTGTGTAGAATATAATACATAGAGAGAAATATACAGCCTTTAAGGCAACTACCCTTTTAATCTTGTATATAAATTTGTCTGTATTGTTCGTCTTGTCTGTCAATTTGTATACGTCGAAAAAATCTTTTCAATAAAAATAATGAAAACAAAAAACAAAGACACTGAATTTTTAACCTCCTAAGTGCCTATCTTTATGTGCCTATCTCTATGTGTGTGTACCAATAGGAATACATTTTAACTACTGATATGGGTTAATAAGTAGCAGTGAATGAAACACTGCCGTGGCTTTTTTTCACAGCAGAAATGTATCATAATATTAAACAATGGTGCACTTTCCCATCTGAATAGGTCTTTTTACAGTTTGTAACAGTTGTGTATGTTGATGAATATTTACTTGTTAGCTTATTTATTGGAGAATAAGGGGGAGGGAGGGAGAGTCAGTATTTATTTATTTATTTATACATCTATATTTTTACCTCTGTAAATAAAAAATAAATTATGTGTTTTGAACCCGCTTTGGTGAGACCGTGCTTTTTTGGCCTCCGAGTCAAGCGTCCGACTCTGTCTGAAGTTGGCTTGACCAACTGGCCAAGGAATAATAATCATAATCATAATAATAGACTGACTAGCCAAGGAATAATAATAATAATAATTGACTGACTAGCCAATTAATAATAATTTAAAAAAACTGGCAAAAGAAAGCTCTCCATGGACAGTTTCTGGCAAAAATTGAGACCAAATTGACAAAGAAAAAAACATGGCTGTGGCTCACAAACGTAACTCTGAAAAAGGAGACGGAGGGCCTGATTCTGGAAGCCCAAGAACAAGCCATTAGAACCAATGCCATCAAAGACAGAATTGAAAAGTCGACAACAGATCCTAAATGTAGACTCTGCAAGGAAGCAGATGAAACAGATCACATCCTCAGCTGCTGCAAGAAGATCGCACAGACAGACTACAAGCAGAGGCATAACACCATTGCTCAGATGATTCATTGGAACTTATGCCACAAATACCGTCTGCCTGCAACAAAGAATTGGTGGGATCACAAGCCAGAAAAAGTCACAGAGGATGAACATGCCAAACTCCTCTGGGACTTCCAGATTCAGACAGACAGAGTTTTGGAACATAATACTCCTGACCTCACAATTGTGTTAAAAAACGAAGTATGGATTGTCGATGTCGCAATCCCAGGTGACAGCAGGATTGCAGAGAAACAACTGGAAAAGCTGACACGATATGAGGATTTAAAGATCGAACTGTGAAGACTGTGGCACAAACCAGTAAATGTGGTCCCAGTGGTGATCAGCACACTAGGTGCAGTGTCTAAAGACCTTGGCCTGCACTTAAACACAATCGGCGCTGACAAAATTACCATCTGCCAGCTACAGAAGGCCACCTTACTGGGATCTGCACGCATTATTCGCCAATACATCACACAGTCCTAGACACTTGGGAAATGTCGGACATGTGATCCAATTCAACAACGAGCAGAGTGTCTGCTATGGACTCATCCTGTTGTGTTTCAAATAATAATAATAATTGACTGACTGGCCAAGGAATTATTATTATTATTATTATTATTATTATTATTATTATTATGTTTTTTGTACCCTGGCTTGAAAAGGTTGTGGAGTGTTGTCCCTTGATGGCCACTGAGGGCCAGAGATATTGACCACCAGAGTCCTTAGTCTAGGCCAGTGTTTCTCATCCTGGAGGTCGGGATCCCTGTGGTGGACCATCAGAAAACACATTTCTGATGGTCTTCGGAACCCCTTTGGCAAAGAAGGATGAAGATCTCTCCACCTGTCCTTCTTTTCCTTTTTGGAAACAGACGGCGAATCCTCCCACCAAAAGCCCTCCTCCATTGTGATTGGCCGACCTCTCGGTCAAGGGGAGGGCTGTTTCTGAGACTCCAAGCAGGGAGGGGAGAGCAAGTGTGCTTGGCACATGGCAGGCAAGGGAGAGCGTGCAAGGCTGGAGGGAGGTTCATACCAGCACATTGCTTCAAGGCATGGGGCTTCTGTGTGGGAAGTTTGGCCCAATTCTATCCTTGGTGGAGATAAGAATACTCTTTGATTGCAGGTAGTATGAATCCAACAACTACAACTCCCAAATGTCAAGGTCTATATTCCATCAGTGTTCACATTTGGGCATATTGAGGATCCGTGCCAAGTTTGGTCCAGATCCATCATTGTTTGAGTCCACAGTGCTCTCTGGATGGAGGCGAACAACAACTCCCAAACTCAAGGTCAAGGCCCACCAAACCCTTCCTGTATTTTCTGTTGGTTGTGGGAGTGCTAAGTTTATTTATTTATTTGTTTATTTCAATCATTTGTACCTCGCCTTTCTCAACTCCCAGAGAGGGGACTCAGGGCAGCTCACAGCCGGCACAACGCCACTACATAACAAATAATACATACAGCAATTACCTATGAATAATACATTAAATTAGTTTAAAATTTGTTTAAAAATAAAAAGTGCAATGATAAAAGTACAATAATACTGGCTGTCTAGCCTTATCTAGAAACAAATTCGGCCCAATTCTATTGTTGGTGAGGTTCAGCATGCTCTTTGATTGTAGGTGAACTGTAAATCCCCACAACTACAACTCCCAAATGACAAAATCAAGCCTCTTCACAATCCATGTTCAACATCTACACAAATGACCAGCCACTGCCAGAAGGGACAGAGAGTTTCATCTATGCTGATGACCGTGCCATTACTGCTCAAGCAGGGAGCTTAGAGACAGTAGAACAGAAGTTTTCCGAAGCTCTAGGTGCTCTTACTGCCTATTACAGGGAAAACCAGCTGATCCCTAACCCATCTAAAACACAGACATGTGCCTTTCATCTCAAGAACAGAGAAGCATCCCGAGCTCTGAAGATCATCTGGGAAGGAATCCCACTGGAGCATTGCAGCGCACCCAAATACCTGGGAGTCACTCTGGACCATTGCTCTTACCTACAAGAAGCACTGCCTGAACATCAAGCAAAAAGTGGGTGCTAGAAACAATATCATACGAAAGCTGACTGGCACAACCTGGGGATCACAACCAGATACACTGAAGACATCTGCCCTTGCGCTATGCTACTCTGCTGCTGAGTATGCATGCCCAGTGTGGAACACATCTCACCACACTAAAACAGTGGATGTGGCTCTTAATGAGACATGCTGCATTATCACGGGGTGTCTGCGCCCTACACCACTGGAGAAATTACACTGCTTAGCCGGTATTGCACCACCTGACATCCGCCGGGAAGTAGCAGCCAATAGTGAAAGGACCAAGGCAGAGACATCTCCAGCTCATCCCCTGTTTGGGTATCAGCCAGCATGATCAACGACTTAAATCTAGAAATAGTTTTCTAAGATCTACAGAGACACTCGCTGAGAACACCTCAGCAAGCGAGAGTCCAAAAGTGGCAGGCTCAAACCCAGAACCTCAACCAATGGCTGATACCAAATCTAAGATCTACAGAGACACTCGCTGGAACACCTCAGCAAGAGTCCAAAAGTGGCAGGCTCAAACCCAGAACCTCAACCAATGGCCGATACCAAATGAGAGTCTCCCCCCTGGACACACAGAGGACTGGGCGACTTGGAAGGCGCTGAACAGACTGCGCTCTGGCACCACAAGATGCAGAGCCAACCTTCAGAAATGGGGCTACAAAGTGGAATCCTCGACATGCGAGTGTGGAGAAGAGCAAACCACTGACCACCTGCTGCAATGCAACCTGAGCCCTGCCACATGCACAATGGAAGACCTTCTTGCAGCAACACCAGAAGCACTCCCAAGTGGCCAGATACTGGTCAAAGGACATTTAATCAACTACCAAACTCACAAATTTTGTATTTTGTCTGTTTGCTTTGTTCTGATAGAAATGTAATACACTTTGACTGTTTGTCCTGACACGACAAATAAATAACCACAACATGAGGAACTGTATGAAGGGGTCACGGCATTAAGAAGGTTGAGAAACTTTCTACCTCTGACTCCATTATGGAGCAGATCAGAATGGAAGCAGTTGAGTAGATCAGTAACTTCATTAATGGAATATTATAGACTAAACGTGTGCATCTGTTTTCTGGAGTTTTTATGCAGTAAGCTTCAAGAAAGGTTTACAAGGCACAGGGAAGTAGTTCCTCCCTGTTACTTGACCATTTCAGATCCAACTTGAACAAGTGCCCAGAACTTTACAATGAATGCCTTCAAGTTACTGTCACACTGATGGAAGAATTTGATCTGTGGAGTAGGAAATGGAAAAAGATTACACCTGCAGAAAAACATCAAATGCATTGGAAGCTGTAAAAGATTTAACACAGGGCAAAACACAGGTAGGATTGCCACCAAATATAAAACTCTTAAATAGGCTACCTTATGTGTGTAGCTTGTATGAGGCACGCAGAGACTTTAGTTTGGTATGAACAAAGAAAGATGTTTATTTATTTACTTAGAACAGGCGCAGAAGCTTAATGGTTGCAGTATTCTTGTACAAAGCTTTTTGGTTTCAGAAGTAGTTCAGTGCTTGAATTCCAGTCAAAACCTTTAAACTTTTAGTACTCTACTAAACAGTTCCCTCAAATACAAACAGCCCAGTTCTCCAGGGTCTGTTCAAACCTATAGTTCTCCCTTAGAAGTAACTATTATATAATACAAGCTAAACTTCCTTCTTTCTCCCTTTTCAATTCCTAACTGCCATCTCCAACTGTCAAATTCCAACTCCTAACTGACTTCTCCAAATTCCAAACCCCTAACTGACTTCTTTTTAAATGCCTTGTCTTAGCTCCACCCACTTTTCTCCAGGGCTATTAACCAATCAGGTGGTGACACATACCCTCAAGGCTGCCAGTACCAACAAAATGGATGCCTGCTGACTCCGCCCCCTCTTGGTTTTGAGTTAAGAAAATGGCTGTTTGGTTTCCCGCCTTTTAGGAACCAAACACCAGCCCTGCACAGTAGGCCAGTATGTTACAGAAGCATAGAAGTTAAACAGTTTTTTTTCCGAATGTGAAGAAATGCTTTCTAATTTCTGCAATATTGTCAGTGTCAACAGCTACAAATGAAAAGTTGTTTTCAACTCGTAAACCTCTGAAAACATACATAGGAAGCACAATGCAGCAAGGAAGTCGGACTGGACTTGCTCTCTTGAGTATCCACCAAAGTCTATCGATGGAGCCTGATTTCTGTCAAAGTGTATTGACACAGAAAGAAATGTTTGGTGAGCCAGGAAGGATTATCAATGGCAAAGGGGGGACGTGGTAGTAGGATTTCTGA